TTTCACTCTGGATCTCTCTCACTCTTCTGCTCCTTGCATAGAACCCTCCCCTGTAATTCGAAAGTCTGAAAAGCATTGGGTGTATTTGTTAGGTCTAGATTCATATTTTTTATGGTTTTTTTGTTTAGATTTCAATTTATGTAACAAATCGAACAAAGTAATGCAATATCTGAATGGTTCTTTGTATCTACAGCCCATTATGTGGCGATTGAGTGTGGGTGAGAAAGAGATTTAATTCTTTCATATTCTCTTGTTTTGCAGTTCTATCCTGCTTTCTGCATGTTGTTCTCTTCCTGGCTTACATGTTTCATGCATGTGCATTGGCCATTTAATTCATTAGTTGGATGCATGTTCCAGAGTTTTAAACTGGAAAAAAAAAAAAGAAAAGACATGTTGTTTGTGCCGATTGCCAATTGCTTATGATACATAACAGATTGTGCTATATAAATCCATTATGTCATGAGCTATAATGATATTTAAATTGGATAGCATATAACTTGTTTCACATAAGAGAATATCAGATTCAATGTCTTTATACTTTTTCTAGTAAAAATACAGGAGAGGCTTATGTTGTTTCTGTATAATAGATATGCTTGTTAACGTGGGTATTTAGTTGAACAATTAGACATAATAGTGGGTGCAAATATCAAGTTTAGACTAGGAATTCATATCGGTTACAGTTTTTTTTTTGTTTGTAGATGACCGTAAAATAGAAAAATCGGCCTAAATTAGTTTCATTTAGAATTTGTCATGCGTTTACTTGTTTCTTGTTTGGATTTCTTTTTTATTTCCTTTTTTTAAAATTGAAATTGCTTTACCATTGTAACTAGAGTAAGTTTAATTCACCTTATTGAAATCATAATGTGTAGTTTTATTTGGTTTATGTGTTTGATGAGTCTACTAGTCTTTCTATGTTGTGGACTTCATTAAGTTTTTTTAGGAGGTCTCGTCCTCCTCTTGGTTTTTCTCGCCATATGCTTCTTTTTAGGGTAGCAATGTTACTTAAATCTATTAGGTTTCTATTTTAAACATCATCATCATCACAGTTGATTTTTAATTAATTGGGGTCTTTGAACTTTTGAAGAGGTGCAACTCTTCGGCTTGATTTTTAATTAATTGGGGTCTTTGAACTTTTGAAGAGGTGCAACTCTTCGGCTCAATAGAAATGATCACTCAACGCAGTTTCCTTGACCTTGCAAAGATAATGAGAAATTAAGTATTTATTTTTTAAATTTATATTAAAATAAAGAGCAATGATCCAATACAACGGTTGTATCATAGTATAATGCAACGATACTTCTAGAAAACCATGTTTGTGGTATTTGTAGGACCTCAAATTTTGCACACACACTCTCTTCATCTCAAGAATCAATCTCCCAAAAACACAGTTCAATTTGAACCCAATGGTCAAAATGAGTCCCCTCCAAAAACAAATCTAGACCATTCATTTTATGAATTTCAATATCTTACCCTTTATAAAGTCAAAATCATTGTTTCATCTATTGATAATAAAGCCATCCAAAAAACTAGAAATGAAACAA